CATGATTCAAGATGTGGTCCCCAGAATCTTTGCAACATCCTTGCTTGGTGGATGTTGGTGTGTTAACACTCAAACTATATACAAAATTAGATTTGTAAAATTATTGGGTCTTTTTATTATTATTTTAGAGTCCTGATGATGAGAATGTTCTCTTTTGCAGTGTATATACTGAGTCCCTACTGGCACCATCATTTGTGAATGCACTTTTGGCAAAGCATTATAGACAATACTTTATCCTTCTAAAATGGAATAAATTCTATTAGTATCTCCATAACTGTGTATCCTACTCTCTGGCCATTAATATCCAAGTCTAATTACAAGCAGACTGTTTTCTTTTAATTTTCTTGTATTCTTTGAATTCTTCCCTCCATCTCTGTATTCTTGATGAATAATTTTGTGCAGGGTTGTTACTAGCACAATCCGGTATGCGGGAGGAAATTAACCTGGTGCCCTCCAGTTGTTTTGGATCACAGCATAATTTCATAACCAGTCAGAGAAACATCCAGAATGTGCTGGATAATTTGCAAGTCAAAATGTCAGTATTGTTTTTGAACCTCAGTTCATTTTCTTCTCTGGAGCTTTCACTGTGTTTTGTGATGCCATCCCATTTCTGCTCGCTACATCATAGAATACTACTATTTTCTGACTTCAACCCAGTATATAATTTAGACTTTTGCAGAGAGGTTATTGTGTCATTTTGCCACTTGCCTATATGGCTGCCTGCTTCTTTTGATGGACATGGATAGAGAATGGGGTTTCTCAGATGAAATAAACTCAATGAGCTGCGGGGTTCTAAATTTGGGGGATGTAGCTGATGAAGAAAATTACATCCTCGAGGATCTGACAAACAGCTGGACTACCCATTTCAAAGCAGGTGGTAGAATGTGTAGAGCACTTTCTCTGCTGCATATCATCTTTTTATATTTTAATTGCTACTTTGTGAAATTCACTGTCCAATGATATCTTGTTGGCTATAGTAGGGGTACCTAATCCCCGGTCCATGGACCAGCACTGGTCCACATAATACCAGAAATTGGGCCAAACTAAGGAAGTCCCATCTGTGGATGCAGGCAGCACATGAAACCAAGCCCACTCTGGTCCACGGAAAAACCTCTCTCCACAGAACCAGTCCCTGGTGCTCAAAAGATTGGGGGCCACTGGGCTATAGCAAACCATCTCTGAACATGTTGCCTACAGGAGTTAAGTCAGATCTGAAGGCAAAACAGAGCAGGAAAAGGAGATGGTCATCATCGTATTATGGCTTAGCATGGTAGTGTAGTGAAGCTAGTCTGTAGATTGTAGATTATTTAGTTTTGTCTTGGAACAACATTTGAATCCAGCCATTGTGCTGAAATTATAGCATAGTGCAACATGTGAATCCACTTAATAAACACATGATTAAAGCAAGTTGTGGCTTAAAGTGATGTATAAACCAACCTGTGATTAAGGATATATAGATATTACAAATACCTGAATGTTTTCATTTGTGAATTATAGGGTGGTTGTGATACATGGATTGAATCCTAAGGCATGTTGTTGGGAGCAGCAATTTTTCTGCCATGTGTTTCTCAATTATTTCCTTCCTAGTGTTTTTCCACAAGTGCAGGGTTGACTTTTTTTTTAATCAATTGAATATTGATCCATTGCTTGCAACAGGAATTGACTGATTGACTCATTACCTGAGCCTGACATCATAGGCTCAGGGTGACTAGTACAAAATCACTCAGCTGGCTTTCATGACAAAAGTACAACTAGAATTCAGTTTTCTGGTTTCTAGAATTCACCGCTGTCTTATTTGATTTCCAATGTAGATCCAAAAAATTAGTCATGTCTATGCTTTATCTCAGGAAGTTGTCCCAAAATCTCTTGCAGCACTCTGTGGCCCAGTTCCCATAAATTGTTTGCTCAACACATTAAGCCAAAATATAATTTGCTTAGGTTTGTCTTACTGCATTGTGCGAAGCCAGCCATTTCGTATATCCAAGCTTTCTGGGTATGGGAATATGAGGGGATCTTCTAAACTCACTTATGGCTTCATTGGCACCCTCACTATTTTATTCTCTATCAGTTCTTCAACATAGCTTGAGAGCTTGGTGTAGTCAGGTTTACTTTGTGTATAGTTGACCTTGCATTCTCTCCTTCCTTTAGTGCTTTTTTTCTCTTTCTTTTCCATTCAGCAAATTGATCCTAATCTCCCCAGAGTGACGTGAAACATATTGAAGGAACATTTCCTTCTCATTGCTACAGGCTCTAGAATCTGGATTGCTCAAGTTTCAGCCCAGATAATAATAACATATTTGGGACAGGAGGTGACTTTGCTATACCTCAAATCCCTGGAAAGAGCTATATGGAGCTTGGTACCTCCATAGATTGTACTTGTCCTGCCCTTGCCTTCCTCTCCCCTCCCCTCCTGCCCTCTCCCCTCCCCTCCAGATGGATCCAGTCTGTGCCAGGCAGCAAAGTGTGACTCGGGAAAGTCTGTAGTCTGAGTGTTAGTTAATCAAGTCCTTGAATGTCCTCTAATCCTACCAAACAACACAACTTGATCTTTCTTTTCTCTCTCTTTCAGTCTTTCTGTCCCACCTCCAAACAGAGAGGAGAGGAATGTCCCAGAGGTCAACTGATCCAAGCAGGTGCTTTAAGCGGCAAGCTGTCAAGCAGCCTCCAGGGTCCAACAGAAGCATCTTGGGACTCTGTAAGACATAGAAGAATTGGCGTCCAGCTCTTAAACCACGGAATGGAGCTCCTTGAAATTAGTGAATTTCTAAGACAGCCTTGAATTCTTGGTAGAAAATAGAGAGCATTTTAACATAGAGAGCAATTTAACATAGAGATCATTTTAACATACTGCACCTCTGTGAAGTTTGCCAATTGCACAGTGGCAGATAGGAAAGCATTCCAGAGGGTTAATGTCATTGCCCAGAAGATCATTGGCTGCCCTCTCCCCTCTTTGGAAGAGCTTTATAGTTCCCGCTGCCTTAAGAAAGTTCATAACATTCTCAAAGATCCATCTCATCCTGGGAATCCTTTTTCTGAATTATTACCATCTGGCAGACGGTACAGAATAATAAAAACAAGGACAAATAGGCTGAAAAACAGCTTCTATCCCAGGGCAGTAGCTCTTTTGAATTCTGCTGTATAGTGCAGTGTTGGTGTGGTGACGGGGGTTTCTGGTTCAATGTGAAGGATGTGTGTTTGTGTTTATTTTCATGGTCATGGTCATGATGTGCACTGAAGATGGTGTTTGGTTTTGTTGTACGAAATGCAATGACAATAAAGTAAACTAAATTTATTCCCACTTTCCTGCCACAGTTCTCAGTATGGGAACATCCCCAGTTCAGATTGCTAACCTGGATATCACCTGACTTGACGGTTTGCGTCTAAGCTCATTTAAGCATGTAAACATTTCATGGCTCAACATTTCTCTTCCAATTGTCTTCTGTTCTTCATTTTCTCAAGCCATGAGCATGGTTGTTTCTAGCACACCTGATCTATGCTAACCAAGTAGATGCTATACTTGAGTGACAGTAAAATAATGTAGTGGAGAGAGGAAACGACTTGGGAATGCTTGTTAATGAAAGCACTGCTGGTAACATCCAGCTGAGACTGACCTGTGGTGGAGACTTGTGGCCTTCCAGATGTTCTTGGACTACATCCTTTATAGACATCTGGGCAAACCAAGATGCAGGCTAACATCATGACTCAGACTCCAGCCTTACGTACTTGCATGTTTGCTGAAAGTATGCCAATTGTGACCTCTCAATGTACATTTATGACATACATTTTGTTATTTGCCTCCCAAATACCCCCTATGGACTTTTGACAGGTTGTGATGGAAACAAGTAGCACATTTTATATGTGGTTGTCATTGTCAGCCATTCGGTTTGGCAACTCTATGGATCAGCGCTCTCCATGCCCCTCTGTCTCTCACCGCCCCCTTCAGATCTGCCATGGTCATCCTGGTGTCATCCTTTATCGTGTCCAGCCATTGAGCAGTTCCGTCCCCTTCTTCTGCTGATCACTTCCAGCATGGACTTTTTGAGTGAGTTACCCACTCATGACATGACATTTTATACATAAATAAGAAAATAGAAATTAATAAAAGAATGCAATAATATTAGAAAAGAATAAAAATAGAAAGCTCTTGATCTATAAGGATGATCCCAAATCATTCTTTCTGGGAGGTGACAGTTTTTCTACCCATCCATTGTCTCCACATCATGGGTCAGTAAGGCTTCAGAGGGGATTCCCAATTTATTTGGGCATGGCATTTCCCACTGGGGAATGCTATGGGCAAGGAGAAGTAATTTTACTTGTGGAAAGACAGAACAGGCATGGTGATATAACTAGGAAATGAACAACTATTTTGCACTGAAAATTTTACCCTCCCCCCTTTTCCCTCCCTGTTTCTCTAAGAAAATTCTTATCTGCATAAAATATTCTTCTTCTCAAATTAGTAGCTTGTGAACAAATGCAGTCCCTTCCCCCACAAACAAATACTTTACTGGGTCAGAGACAGGCTCACTATTTTAGCTGCCCAGTTCCAACAGTGACTAGAGTCTAGACAAAGGCCTCCAAATCGATAATCACAATAGAAAGACAGTGGTCTCCCTCTTGTGAACACAGTGCATGCTTAAAATCAGGGGCTGTACTATTTCTGTACATGGAAGCTCCATTCATCTCAGAAATTTTGACAGGCAGAGGTCCACCTTGGCTTTTTAAAGAAGCCTAGATGTGTTCTTTCATAAGGTTGATCTTTAACGCTGTGGCCAGCTGCCTGGGCTTGGTTGTACACCTGCGTTTCGGGCCTCGGAGTTATATATTTTCTTGCCAATTCTTTTTGTAGTCTCAGCTGAGGGAGTCTTGCCAGCAGATTAGCCTTGGGCATGTAATTGGCTGAGTGGCTGAGCATAAAACACTGGGAGGCACTAAGCACTTAGCACAAAGCACTGGATGCATTTTGGGCTGGCTGGGAAGGAGTAAGGGTCTAGGAGACGGGCCAGGCGAGATCGAGAGCATCAGAGGCAGGTAAGACGAGTCCCAGCTGGGCTGCTAAGAAACCCCTGCTGGGCATTGCTGCAGGGAAGAAGGGATGAAGAAAGAAACAGTGGTTGCTAAGCAGGCAATTATGTGCTGTGTAATTCTTCTGAGAATCATGGGAAGAATGGAGTGAGAGAAAGAAAATGATTAAGAACCTATTTATTTATTAGATGTACAGCCTGCATTTATTTTGTATTATTAAGCTTGGTTTCCCCACGACGGCCACTCTTTTGGGCTGAGAAAAAGCACATCATCCAAAATTATACTCTATGTCTAAGGCAGACCTCAAACTCACGGTTTCCCAGTTTCTAATTCAGTGCCTTAACCATTATTCCAGACTGACTCAGGTGTGGTATTGCAGACATTGAAGTTGTGCCATCCCCCAAAACTATTGTCCCTTTTTCTATTCACCATTCATGAATTTACAACTTGTTGGCTGGAAGGAAAGTATATCAAAGCATCCAAGTAGTCACTTCTCTTTGACAGCCATTGCTCTCAGGCAAATGCCTTTGTCACTAAAAGATAGGAAAGAATTTTTTAAAATAGTGGATTGAAATACCTTTAGCATCCAATTTTGTCTGTTTCTAAGAACATGCCTTCCACTCCCTTTTCCTGAGCTTTCTCTTTCCCAACTGCTAAATCAACTTCACTTGCTGCCTGTTAAGAACAGAAATGTTGTTGTACCTGTTTTTCACAAAACCAGACCAAGATCTATGCTGGCAGATGGAGAATTTCCTTAATTATACAGTTGCAAGCTTTTAATTGTATCAGTGGAAGGACTTGAAACTGGATTAGCTATGCAAGGCATCTGCTCTACCCCTTGGCTGCCTAAAATCCATAAAGCCAGTAACTGCAGGGGGTAATGAAATGAGGCTCTGGACATAAGCTGAATGCCTGTTGAGGATAGCTGGAGAAGGAACTTTCAAAACTCCTTTTCCCCCCAATTCTCAGAGACAGAAGGAAAGAGATGGTGGAAGAGCATTTCCTCAAGGGCTAGCAGAACATTCTCCTGACCTGTCGTCTGTTTTTGTAGAAGGCAAGTCTTGATCTATCTATGCTGATACATCTGCTTTTTGTGGGAGCCTTTTGTTTCATGCACAGTTCTAGTATGGTCAGAGATGGCTTGTTTAAAGTTTGGCATCTTATTCCAAAAAGGGGTCAGGTGATAGATTTTTCGTTCTGTTTTCCAGGCAAGTATTGGGTTTTTTTTTAAATCCAAGTATATGAGAGAAGAAAGATTTGGGTAGAGGGGGAGACCAGTTGGTACTTACCAGCCTTTTGAAATCCAAGGGAAATGCAATTATGACACATGGTTCACTAACCAAGAGAGTAGTTTAAAATTGGCCATACTCATTTTTGTTGTTCTTCTAAGGCTGGGTGAGTACTTGAGGCTTTTCATTAAAACTGCCATATTTTAAGCAACAGGTTAAATATTTTGCTGTAAAGTTCCATTCAACTGCATAGAAAACAAAGGAAGGGTCAGAAAAAACTTTGAGAAGAGCAGCCACTGCTCTTTGATAACTTTGGAGTCAACATTGAAGGAATTGTATTAGTTTTGAACCTGAAAAAGCATACTGTTTTTAATGCTAATTGGTGGTAATTAATTGATGGCTTTGGGAGGAATTGCCAGAAATATCACCACTATTATGCAAATATTTGTAATTTTATTGTAATATTTGTAATTTTAACCAAAAAAGTGTTACAGTACTTAGTCTGCCATGCTTTTGGTGTGGTTTTCAGGAGAACTCTGAAGGGCATCCCTGGCCAATAATTGAAAATTAGATTAGGTGAGCTGAAAGAGCCTTTCTAATTCAACCTCTACTGATGTGGACTGGCAAATATTAAAAGCAACACGCAATAACATGGGCATAAATATCCAAGGGATATCCAAAATATAAGGGAATGCGGAACATATTTATTCTTGCTGTGTTATCCATATATTGTCAGGCATAAGAATGTTTTACGAGTTGACATATATTCTGTTCAAGATATTTCCGTACCTGCATTTTGCAAATCTGTCTTTTGCCCTTCAATATTCTTTTCTTTTATTGTCAGAAGGGGGAGCCATTGTCTCATTGAAATTTCCCATTTCCTTAAAATCGGAAAATGTAGCAGCACCTGAAAGGCTAACAATTTTTGAAAACTGGAGGTTTTCAAAGATAGAGTGGACAATCATTTGACTGGGATAGTGCAAGGGTCCTGCCTTGAGCAGAGCGCTGGACTAGCAGACCTCCAGCCCTATGATTCTATGTCTTCTACAAATAGGTTATTACCTCAATTATTAACGTGAAATATATACAACAATAAAATTATAAGGCACTAATTTGCCAAAAGAAACCTGTTTTTGCTGCAATTGCCTTCCCAGTTGAAACTCATAAGACGAGGGGAATATCAGAAAAGTAACAAGTCACATTAAAGGGATGAATGTTCTTTGTTCCAGATCTGTTGGAGAAAGAATCATTTTCCATATGACCACAGAAGCATTATTCCTGCCCCCTCTTGAGTCTGGGCTGGAGCACAACAACCAGGAGAGTTCAGAAGAGGGTGAATTCAGGCAGATGGTGGGAACCAAGGACGTGGTCAAGGATGTTTCCATAACCACTGAATCTAATAATCTCTTGACACCCCCACTTGAAGAAGTCAACAGTCTCATCTCCAAAAAAAATACACTAGAAGAATTATCCAACTTGATACCAAAGGATGCCCCTGTGGAGAAAGCCTCCTCATCTCCAGCCATTCATGGAATGAATATGGCACCTGTCTACAACCAACTAGACCAAAGGCAAGAGGACAGCCAGATCAAGATGCCAAATGTCTGCTCAGAGCAGCAGGAAAAAGCAAGTACTTCATGTCAGTTGGAAGAAGGAGAGACTGGCAGCTGTCTTGAGTGTCATAACAATATTTTAAATGTTTTTCCAGAATTTAAGCACTCAAATGGAACCTCGATGCAAGAGGTTCAAGGAGTGGAGAGCAAGCTATATCACTGCGCTGATAAAGTTCCCATTGTGCCTGCTGATTTCCCGAAATCTTTGGAATCTGTCCAAGAGGCTAAAAAGGATCCTCTTGTTTATAATGGAACTATTTCAGATATTGCTTCAGAGCAGCAGACCTCCAATGACATCTCTAATCAACCAGACCAAAAGATAGAAGACGACACTGTAGATCATTCTGTCAAATCTTTTGACGCGCATTCAGATTCACCAGAGAAACCAGAACTTACCAGTAGCCTCAAACAAATTCCTGCCTGTGAAGAGAAAAGCAAAAGTCTCACTTCACCTAAATCTCCCAACTTGTTGTGTCTGGAGACCAACTGTCAAAACCAAGCAGGGGAGGGACAGTGTTTTATCTCCAGTCATTCTAATTTTGATTTGACAGATGAACTTCAGGGAACATTTCACCCTACCAACATTCATGAAGAAAGAAAGCCAAGCTGCCAAAAAATTACAGAAACAGGTAATGAAGAAATAATAACCAATAAAGAGAATGATCAGTTACTTTTAGCTTCAGAAGATTGCCAGGGTCATGTCAATGGGCAGTATTTGAGAAACGTCTTGGAAGATAATTCTCAAGAAACTGGCGAGCAGGTCACCCAAGATTCTTCCTGCAGTCCAAATTCATCTTCCCTGGCATTAGCAGGCTCCCAGCTAGATGTTGACTTCTGCTGCCAGCAGGGGGCGTCAGGTACAGGTTGTGACACTCTACCTTCGAAACTGCTGGCACAGTCTCCTGTGGCAACCAATGACTCCTGTGGACCTGCCCACCAGGGCCTGGCTCCTGTATGTGACGGGCAAGACAGGGAAGGCTTGACTATTCATGAGTCAAGAGGAGCCGGCAATAACGATCAGTCCCAGGGTGAGGTTGGAGCAGAGTGTGTGCTGGAATCTGAGAGGCAAAAAGAAGAGACCAGGGACTCTGAGCCTGGAGAAAATACCAGCCAGCCAGAGGAGGCAGAGAATCTGTCTGGTGCCAACAAACTGGACGAAGCATTTCCTGACTCACAAAGCCTGACGGGTGCAGGTGATCCAACTTGTCCCAGAGAGGCAGCTAGTGCAATGGTTTTAGCCAGTGCGGAAGATCTGCTAGATACCAGGAACAGAGCAGACTCTCGAGGTTTAGCTAATGCCTCTTTAGCTAATGGGTTAGATATTGCTACAGAGCATTCTGGGTCAAATCCAACACCACGAAAAGGATTACTTCTTGATGTTGCAAGCCCCACCAGTACCAGAGATCTGGTGAGCCCAGAAGATCCAACTCTTGCTGCACCTCCTGCTGAAGAACACTTGGTGACTGAAGAATCCGATTGTCCCACAGACCTGATGGGAAATAATACCGATGAGCCCGAGAACCCTTCTCATGCTACCGAGACCCCAATTGAGCGAGAGATTCGTCTACATCTGGAAAGGGAAGAGCTTCTACGCAGGGAGAGAGGCCTGGGCAGCTCTCGAGGTACCCAGGAATATGTGGAAGTGTGCATCAAGCCTATCTTGAACCAAAGTACAGCATCATCCATAAAGCCAAAGGAAAAGGAGCGTCAGTGGGCTAGTGTCCAGATGCAGAGGGAGATTCAACGGGAGTGTCGGCGTGAAGAGGACCTAGTGCAGTTGGGCAAGGTGAGAGGTACCTATGACCGTGGTACACCCCAAGAACTGCAGGAGAAGAAGATGATTTTTAAGCATCATTCCCACCCTGGGACACCAGACTTCAAAAAGAAGGGGCATAGCAGCAGAAGCACCAGCTCCACAGAAAATGCTTTTGCTGAGGTCAATCGGATGCCCAATGTGATCATCCAGGACTCTGGTGTTGCAGCAGAACCGAAGCAGCATATGCCAGGGAGAGCCTCCTTGGCTAGCCCCTTTTTCTGCTTGCGTGCCAAAAGCTCTCAGTCTCTGTTGTATCAGGAGGTCCGGGAGGTCCAGGAACGAGAACAGGAGCTGCAGAGGCAGAGGCTCGCCCTGTATGGCTCATCACTGCCTTGCCACCCAACACAAGACTCCAATCAAGATGAGGAAGTCCCCTCCCCACCAGGTAAGTACTGTCGGATGGGAAAGGTGGGATGAAGAGAAGAATGAAAAAGGATCACATGCTTGGCTTTCAGTTGAAGAATCGAAGCAAGCGGGTGATTCTTTTTCCATTCTTCTCTTCAATTTTCCCAAAAACAGTTTTCCCCCAAACTGTTGTCATTCTAATGGACTATTTATCCCAGGCGGGATATGTAGCCCATTTGGAGAATGCCAGCTTGGGAAAGACTTTATTAAAACATTAGAAATGAGAGCAAAAAGAATTTGGGTGAAACTAGAGAGGCAAGAAAAAACTAAAAGAAAGTTCTTCAGGAACAGATCATAACAAAACAAACTGCGGAATTCACTCCACTTATAAATAATAGCCAGCAGCTTTGATCACTTTTCTCCATTCTGAGGACTTTTAGATGTGTTGGCATTATATCTCCAAGAATTCCCCGTTCATTTGTAGGAGAACAGTTATTTGGGAAAGATTGGCTAGATGCTCTAAGGGGAAATTACACCGATTTATGGACAAAACCATCACTTTTTAGAAGCAGCAAAACTCTGAATGTAAGCTGGGAAACATGCTTTTATTAGCATTCTGTGCTTTATGGAGGCTTCTGGGCATCCAACAGAGGCATGCAAACCCAGATGTATAGTTGCTCTCCTATTGCAGGCCTCTTCTGAAACCCAATCATTCTGAGATTAGTTTGTTGGGGTCAAGAGGTTAAAGTGCTTGATCTGGTCAGTCAAATCATATTGGTCTCTCTGCATGACCTTGAAATTGTTGCTTGGTCTGGAATATTAAAAAATAATGCAAAACGGGAATGCACAGAAACCTGAAGATAAAAGTATGTTTGGGGAAAGGATTCTGAATGGGTAGCCTGGCCCACTTTTGATGCCACCTGTTCAAGCTTAAGAAAGAAAGGGGAAAACTATACGTTATGCTCAACTGTGATGTCATACAACTCTACACTGATGCCACAGAATTCTGTTTTTCATCTTGATTTAGTCTGTTTGCCACTAGCTTTTTCATACATCGCTCATCCTAAAGACAGCAATGCATTTTGATTCCTCCTCATTTCAACATGATAAAATAAGCTAATGATATAAAGTGTTTTGCCTTTAGCTCCCATAAGGCCCTGTCAAGAGAGCTGATAGTAAGGAAGTGTGAAAACAAGGCCTTGGTTGAAACAACACAGGTTTTATATTATTCCTTCCTAACATCCCTCTGCTGATTCCTAAGGCTTAAGAATATTGCATGGGCTGCAGTTGATCTCTGGAATATGATGCAGTGATAAAAGAATGTTAGACAAAAGCAGGGAAATCTGTGTTCAAATCTCTTTAATTTCATCAGTTGACCTGGTAGCCATCAGTCTATCTGTAGTATACATGTATTTATATGTATGGGTGGGTGTATATGTAAGTATATGTATATAGCATGAGTATATGTGTGTTATATATGTGTACACCTTTGAGAGCAGACAAGAGAATTTCATTTTTAATGTGTGCCAGTATGCCCACAATAAAAAATGACAATAAAGGTTATCTATCTACCTATCAGCTGATACAGAGTGAAATGTAGCATGAGAATTTGGCATCCAGCATGTGTATCCAGAGGGTGGAAATAGGTTTCTAGGATGTTATAGCAAACACTGGGTTGAACTTTAACAGAGGCAAGACTGAAAGGGAAAGCTGGGTGTGAATGCTTACAGCTCTGAGTAGATTCTGAAAAGAGGTGTGGAACTCATAGAAGAAATGTGGCAGAAACACAGCAGGAAGAAGGACCCATTTCTGAATTGTCTGTGGCAGGCCATGCTGTCCTCATTCTTATGCCTAGCCATAAAGTAGCTTGGGATTAAATGTATTGTGCAAACCCAACCATCATGGCTTGTAATCTGTAGGGGTTTTTTAAAACATGATGTAAAGTATGGGCCCTGCCAGTTCTAAATCATTCATTTAACCAAGTTTAAATATATGTGTGAACCCAGCTACTGTCTGAATTTAAAAGCCCTTCTCTGTTATCTGTTACTTAAGCATGAGAAAAAGAGCTCTGTATATGCTCAGGCAATTTCTCCACTATTGACTTGTAACACCTTCATAGTATCCACAGCCATTGTTGACATGATTTGTGGTTTGTCACACAGTCAGCCAGATGTCCAGATTGGATTTGGCATTTCTGTCTAGCCATGTCAAGTCCTTCCAAAGATCTGGGATAGGCAGATCTGGATGTTTGATAGTGTTACAGATATCATCTCAGTGTGTAAGCTGTTCCAAGTAAAGCTACTTTTTTTCAATTGACCGTTGCTATTATTGTTGTTGTTGTTAATTTGGCATAATGATAGATGGATGACTCTAGAAGTGGCTGCAAGCTGCTAGTTGGGGGGAATGACCACAGAGAAGCATTCCCTTGCTAATAAGACTACATAGCTCCTAAGACTGATTTGACTTCCTTTTTCTTCCTTTGCAGAGAGACCTTCCTGCAAGAAACTGGAGGTCATTTGGCCCCCTCCTAGCACTTCAGAGAACATTCAGGTGAATGGCCTCCACCAGGTAACAAGCAGGGTAACCACAATTATCCTCACAGCTGTGACATGTCTGTGGAACAAAGCTAGATATAATAAGCTTTTAGTACTCCCAAATGTGTGTGTGTGTGTGTGTGTGTGTGTGTGTGTGAGAGAGAGAGAGAGAGAGAGAGAGAGAGAGTGCACGCGAGAACTATGATCCTATAAGAATGTGGGGCATAATCCTCCTGTCTCATTCATGTATTTATTTTAGAATATCCAGATAACTTTTTCTTGTTTTTTTCCAAAACTTCCCATGTTTCCCCACCATCTTGGTTTAATTATATATATTTTTAAATCCCATTAATGAGGGTAATACTCATCATTCTTAAAGCACTTAAAGTTGTAAGAGATAGGTTAAAAGGGGAGATATTTGCAAGAGATATTAACCATGGCTCACCATATTCCATCTGGTTCCTCACAATTATTTCATACTGCCTTAAGCTCTCCTCTTGGGAATATAGGTGATTATCTTGGTACAGGTCAAAATTCAGGTTCTTAGCGCCTTTCTCCATTTTCAAGCTGCCCCTTCCCCAGTCAATGGCCTGTAACAAGGGTCCAAAATACAAGGATAATGAGAAGTTCCAACATTCATTTTGTGGCCTCAGAGCAAGACTAAGGTTTCTAGCTTTTTTCCACCGTTTTTGCAATTCTCCAACGTAATCCAAAATGATTTAGAGAAATTATTTTGATTGTGATCAGTCTGATCCCACCTTCTACTATATGGATCATGCTGTATTGTAGAAAAATCACTACAGCCCTGGAACCAATAGAAGTTCTAAATCTCTAAATTATAGGCTTTCTATAATCTCTAACCTATCACTCCCTCCAATTCCAAGCAACAACATTGGCATTGTCAAGGGTAATGGGCTTTGCAATCAACATATACCTAGGAATAATAAAGTTGAAAGATGAGGCTGCTCTACTCTACAGCAAGTTTTCCTGGCTACACTTGGAGATGCTGGGGGTTGAACCTGGAATTACCTGATTGCAAAGTATATAAATACTGTGGATGCAAAATCATTTCCTTGTTTTGCCTCCTACTTGTTCCTTCTCTTTGCCATCTTCCAGATTGTTAATGCTGTGATTCATTATTCCAACTTTCTTGTTCTTGTAACTCATTCTGTTGTTTCAAAGGTTTGTATTTACTAAATAAACTATTTAAAATAACAATAAGGGCCTGCCCACTATTTATAGCTGACAGCTTTAATTTGCTTTTGCAGTCATCATCTCCCCATGGTCTTTCTCCATAACCCCGAACTTTATTGCAACCGATAGAAGTAGTTGCAGGATTGTAGTTTTGCTAAGAATCTGCTCCTTTGCAAAGATCAGACTCTGAAATGTCCTTTGAAATATATGAGAGGTTTGCTAGGGATATTTATGATTAGCCAAGTCCCATTTTATGACATGGTGTGACATGGAGATTGAATGAATTTATCGATAGATGGATGGATGGATGGATGGATGGATGATCAATTGGCATGGGAGTCTAAGAGTGAAATGCAGCTCTGGGGTTGGTTGGTGACTTGGGCTATTCCTTCTACATTTTTTTTAACTTTTGCAATTCTTAATTTTTAACATTTTTTAACTTTACTTTTAATATTGTTTATAACTATGTCTCTTTTATGGTTTTTATTTACAAATCACCTAAAGTCACTTAGGTGAGATCAGTAATGTAGACATTTAATAAATAAAATAAATATAGAAGGTGACAGAGAAAAGAGCTCCTTATCCTTTATGTGGTAAAAAATGCAGCTAGGAGTGTACATGCTTAAAGTGAGGCTCCTGCAAATTCAGCTCTTCAATAATATGTCTGAATGTGCACTGTTCAGCTCCTTCTGTTGCATGTGCCTCGTTAAAAAAGACAAGAATGGCATGGTACCTAACTCATGTCTACTCATAGCTATAATTTATCATACAAAAAGTGGCTCAACTTTGTCACACTCTTATCTTTTGCAGATAGTTGCACAAGATAACCATTCTCACAAAACGGACCTGAATGCATTTCTGCAGAACACAAAACCCTTGCTGCTATTTAAAACAGTGGAAAAAATGCTGACACCCCCCCTTTTTTTTAACAAAACTCTTTCAATGGACTCGTTGTACTGCAATACATTTACATTTGTTTCCTTTGTCCTTGATAGCAGCAGGAAAATAATTAAACTGTAAAAGTAGTGCTGAGCTATTATTCTTAGGAGTTTTCATATCTAATCTCATGTGGTTGCAGATATTGGAAAGAAATTCACATGCTTCAGTTTCTTTTTGTCCTTTATTGTGATAATCTAAAACAACAGCAGTGGCCTCTCAGATTTTTCTGTCTGAAGTTCCAGTAAGAAGCAATTGACCTGTTACAAGATTGAAAGGGCTTCTATGGGGTTCACTTGTGTTTCCTTTTTATGCCTGGACCTCTCCCCCTCTCCTAGAAGAGGACCCTGGAATGGCCAACATGCTGGTACCAGCTCTTCAATAATATGTATGTGCACTACAAGCACTAGAGCAGGGGTCTCCAACCTTGGCCGCTTTAAGCCTGGTGGACTTCAACTCCCAGAATTCCCCAGCCAGCAAAGCTGGGGAATTCTGGGAGTTGAAGTCC